TGTGTGTGTGTGTGTGTGTGTGTGTGTGTGTTATATAATTATTTTGGTATGAATAAAATTTTTAATGTTTGGGATCCCACCCTACGGTTTTCGTTTCAGAGTTAAACAAAGAGAGGCGTATTCATTGTTTTCTTTCCCTATAAATCTATGTAATATCATTACTTGATTTTGATATATTAGCTTTCTTTTGTTGCGTATTCAACGTCGGAACTTATCATTGGCTATCTCTTTGATCGATTTGAAAATAACTCATGGCCTTAGTTTGTCATTCATATTTTCTCATTGTTACCCATGAAGATAACTAAGATTTACTATTGCACTATGATCTTCGTGTAATTGGACCTTCCTTTGAATTAATACAGAATGAAGTGATGATGCTTATGCTGAGAGCTGATCCCCAAAGTGCCCCTTCAGCTTATAATCTTCATGTGCACACAACACGGCTGTTGACCGATGCATCACGGATGGATGCAAAGTCACTAACTAAAACATACACAACCAACACCTCATTAGTGGCGATCCTCATTACAACAATCACCTTTGCCGCTGCTTTCACCCTCCCCGGAGGATACAGCAGTGCTACTGGAAGCGAGGGACTTCCCATCATGTCTCAAAAGGCTGCATTCAAGGCATTCATAATCTCTGACACCTTAGCAATGTGCTCTTCATTTGTTGTCGCCTTTATATGCATCGTAGCAAGGTGGAAGGATTATGAGTTCTTGATCTATTACAGATCCTTCACTAGGAAGCTCATGTGGTTTGCATACGTGGCAACAACTACGGCCTTTTCAACTGGTTTATACACAGTGCTGGCTCAACGTCTCCACTGGCTATCCATATCAATTTGTGTTTTGGTAGCTTTGTTGCCCATTCTTACTAAGTTGCTGGGCGAATGGCCTTACTTGAAGATCAGATTCGGCTTAGGTAGAACTTTCAGCTCCGATCTCCTTGACATGGTGTGACTGTGATCTCATCAATTTCTCTTAGTGGTTCTGATTTCTGATAACATACTGTAATTTATCTGTAATAGATAAAATATTGCCTGGCTACTTATATTGCATTGCTAATTTGCTTTGCTGGAAAATGCATGTAAGGTTGACTCTTGCTTTCCGCTAAAAATAATGCAGTTTAGATGACAAACTGAACAGCTGAACCTAAGACCAACAGCTCACATGGATGTGTCCATCAGCGTTGCAGCTGTGTTTTTTTAATTCCGTTGTTATTTGTCAGTTTCTCGTACAAACTCGAATTTTGCATGATTGAATGGTGTACTTCAACGAGCCTCACCAAATCGCCCCTAAATGCCCGGATCGAACGGTCCGAACACATTTAGGCCTTCAACGTTCTTTCCCATTTTGAGCCGGACTAGTCCGAACGTCTGAAATCGCCTAGGCCGATCCTAAATCAAGGGGTGTTCTAGGTGTTGGCCCAGACCACGTCACCGAGTACTTTCCGGCAACACGCGATGACCGACGACGAACGAAGATGATGAACAAAGCTCACTAACTATCTTGGTTTCAGCCCCAAGACGGCAAGACGTGCGCATACCGAGCTAGCACACGAGCTGACTACTTCCAGACGTGTACTACCTGCGATTAGCCGAAGCTAAGCTAGCAACCAAAACGATTCCTTCACTTGATCGATTCTAGCCAATACACACGTACGCACGCGAAACCAATATTGATTGCCAACCGGTGCTTGTCGCTCCTGGCCTTTTCTTTATTGATCTCCACGATACATAAAGTACAGGGATACCTGAGTATTTATATTAGCTAGCTAACCTGCCAACTAATCTAGTCCTACTCGGTATACACTTCAATTTCTAATCAGACATGTACACGTCCCGTGCACACACCGGCCAGCAGGGGCAAGTCGGGTTTAATTCCAGCACTAGGGAAGTCCGGACATCTGCAAAAACCCTCTCCGCGTCCCGAACTTTCACTGCACTCCCACACCGGATACCGGTTTCTTCCTACCTGCATTCACTTTGTCTATCGGTCTCGCAACATTCATGGTCAGGCAGCTGGCGAGCCGCCTGAGAAGCTTAACCCGGGTATTTAACAGCTGGTCGGCCACCCATAATCACCCTTCGCTACCTTTTGAGCCCTGGGTTGTGCTACATTTCTTTTTAGAAGTTTTTCATCCATATCACGAATCAGTACAACGAAGTTGACCCTTACAAGCACACTGAAACGCAAACACAAAGAACCATAAACACCTAGAGTATCCTAAAAGAACCATAACACAAAAAGATCTCCAGAGCCCTGGGTCATCATCCCTGAATCTTGAGAGAAGACCCCTGCAGCAGAAGGATCTACAACCAGTCGCAAGCAGGTCATCATCTTCGACCACGGTACAATTGCCGCCACGCTGCTTCCTCCTTTCTTGACACCAGCGCTGAGAGGGCATGGACATCAATCCAACACACCTGCAACAGCCTTCGCCATCTTTGACTTTGAGTACCGCGAAAAGTGTCCCTTCCGGAAGAAAGAGAACTCGAGTCATCCGACCGGTCCAGCACCGCGGTAGGGCCACCCGCCCGGACAAAGCAAGATCTCCCACCAGCATCAGCGCAGAGGAAGGAGAAGAACAGCAGCAGCAAATCATACCAACAAGGAAGAAGAAGGGTCTTCGTCTCCCTGCATCCATCGCCCATTTGAGAACTCAAACGGCCAGTGCCGATGGACCTCCAGCCACCATAGCCCACGACCTCGACGAGATCCGGGGATCCCCAACCCCGCTGGCTCATAGACGAAGGCAAAAGCCTCGCCTGACCGCGAACGGAGCCCGGAGAAACTTATTCCGACGCGACACCACCGCAACGGCCTCGGCAGCGTCTCCCTCAACCCTAACCCTACCACACACCCACCTAGTGAACAGACCCGAGGTTCCCCCTCCCTCCCGCCGCCGGGGCGGCCGACGGAGAGAGTGGGAACCGGAGGCGTCACCGGCGGTGCGCAAGGGCCTCGTCGCCTCCTGATCGCCTCGTGCGATCAGATTCCGGTTGTGCTACCTGTTGTGTAACTAAACCATTTGTGTGGTTGAATTTCCTGATGCATGCTTTTTATGTACACAAATAATTCATCTCCACACCCATGTCCCGGCAGTGGGTGTCATATGCATATATTCCCATTCTTGGATTGACTGCAAATTTTTCATGCTCCCCGGTGTTTAGCTCAAGCTTGAACTAAATACCAGGGAGTGACACCATGAACATGAAACAGAGCTCCATTCCATGTGAACTCTTGAGCCTAGCTATACATTAGAGATTGCAGCTTCTGCTCCGAAGGATTATGGGTATATGCATAAACAGACAGAGTGTGTGCTTACCATTTTCCCTTATTAATTTTAATGTCACATAAGAAACACCTCCGTTTCCATTTCAATCTTTGACCGATTGGTTAAGCCAAGCTACCCCAATGCATCTCTAATAATATACTGCACTCAGCCCTTCCAAGAAAAAATCAAACGAAAACCTCGTTTGTACACTTTGTGCATTTCAAAATTCATTTCCTTTTTCTTTCCCCTGTAAACAGACTCAAGATAACAACAAATGGTATATAATTTCCACGGAAAGGTGGGTCTCTGGCATTCTCAAAACGGCAACGTCCCTGTCAGCCGAATGTGCTCGAGGGTACGCTTCAGGCCGTACTGCTGAATAACCCGGTTCCCGGCTCTGAAACCGTCCCCGTAGGCAACGGAGGTGTCTGACTCGATCTGGTGCTTGAAGAAGTCGCCGAGCTTCCGCTCAAACTGAGACCTCCCGCCCTTTTTTGTTGATGTGGATGACGAAGAGGATGAGGATGTTGATGCAGCGTTGCTACCTGATCCTGCCATGATCTCCGACTCGATCCACAGGTGGGCGAGGACTTGACATATGCCTTCTTCTATATCTGGAGTGAGCGTGCAGTATCCTGTGAATGCACTGTCCATCTTCATTACCCCATAACACAGTGATAAGTAAACTGATGCAAACTTGCCAATATACTAATGGTTGTCAACTTCTCGAGTGGAGATTAACATTAATTGGTTAAAAGTCTCATAGCAAGATAACACAACTTCAAGCCCAATAAATCTAAAATTAGTTCAGTTATCTCAGTTGGTAATTCTGGGTTCTAAAGGTACATGAATGTAATACTTCGTATAAGATTTTGGCCCTGACTTGTAAAGGCCTTCTAAGCTAGAGAATCATGGCTTCTGGTAGTTGAACCAACCCTGACATTTAGTCTTTACTGTAAGCAAAGCACTAGCAGATTCATCACTAAATATACCTTTACATGCTAAAATAGAAACCATTTACCAAAGAGAGCATAACCAGCAAAAAAGTGCATAATAATTCCACTGATGTAAGACTGGTTGTCCATTGGTCCAGGCTGGGACTCTCTTCCCCCATTTTGATTACCTTAAGAGTATAACTGTTTAGTGATAACAAAGATGTGGTATTTAGTACTCCCTCCGTCCCAAAATTCTTGTCTTAGATTTGTCTAGATACGGATGTATCTAATACTAAAATGTGATTTGATACATCCGTATTTAGACAAATGTAAGACAAGAATTTTGGGACAGAGGGAGTAGGTTATATTCTGAACTCCAACTTTCAGTGTACTATGAGTCAGTATGCTATTTTACTAGTAAAAACACAATAACTAAATACCACAAGAATTAAAGACAACCTTTAAGACGCAACCACGCATGCATCATCTCATGAGCTAAAATTGAACCTGTCAACAATCTAGAAGAACAAGAACTCATTGGAGACTCGCAGAGTCATGTCAACACATTCAGAGTTCATCAGGTCAAACAATAAAAGATGCAGATGATGAGACAGTGATTCTTTAAGTAAAAGGAGAAGATCCACCGATGAAGCACAACATTAATGTTTTTGCTCATTTGCTCCCTTCAGTAGGTTATATTCGGGACATGTGGTGTTGGATATCTGGAGGTATTCGTCCCATAAATCTGCAGCCATGACAAGCATCCTCAAGGTAGTCTTTACCTTCTGGTATCCAGAGAATAGTTCATCTCATCCTTGTGTCGGGACACCTTGTAGAGGCAATCGAGTATAGTTCATCTCATCCTTAATCAACACCAGAGAAGGACCCGAATAGTGCATCATGGACAAAGTAGTCATCCATGAACATCATATGCCCTCGTGCTCTCTTCCAATGAGGACGAATCATCGCAGTTACATCCTCATATTCGTCCTCATCTAATGAGGACGAATCCACGAACTCAACATAGAAGTACTCCAAGGCCGAATCATCATGTTTGCTTCAAAGTAAATCAGTAATACGTTAATAAATTTGTCTATGGCATTTGGCCGAACACTTACCGGATGCAGTGTCCGCCATGGACGGCAATGTGCAGGGGAGGAGGGAACTTGGCGGCGGCCGGACCTGGGGTGGAAGGGATGCGTAGGTAAGCCGGCTGGCGCCCGGGTGGAGCGGCGTAGCCGGTAATACAATGCTGGCGGAAATCTTGAACTATGTTGATACACTCCATGGCGAAGGGATATAGTGAGTAAAAGCGGGGCTTTCGTGTGGGCTTTTTGTGTAGGCTGGGGGTGTAGAAGTCCGATGTGGCGTTTGTCCAGACACGCACAAATAGCGTCCTCCAAAATTGCTTCCAGTTTGCGAGAAATCTACGTGCAGATCGGTCCGCTAATGTTTGGTGGACAGCGTTGGAGTGCTCAAAGTGTTTTGCCCGCAGGTCCGGACGTTTGCGGGTGGTTTAATGGACGGCGTTGAAGACAAGGTTTGGTTACCGAATGAGGCAATTTTACCGAGGGGGGCGGGTAAACGTAGTTACCACGGTTACCGGGAAATACCAAGAAATACCAAGAATATTTCGAACGAATTTTATAGTTGAATTTTGAATTCAAAGAAATAAATGAACGAACATTCGAACCAGAGACCTGTCAAAATAGGAACTAGGTTGCTACGAACACGTCAGAATCAAGTCTCATGGCATTAATTACATCGTATGCACTTTACTACAAATGGAGCGTTTAAATTCAAAAATTTCAAAAAAATGTATTTTTTGCTCGGTATGAGGATTTATCGATGGGCACGGAAATATGCGGTACCCATGGGAAATCTTGAAATTTCGACCGGTAACCAAAACCTTGGTTGAAGATGCCCTCGGTGGTTACCACCTGTTTTGTTCGTGCCGTTAGAGGGTCCTAGCCCGATTCCTCCTCGTCCAAACAAAGCTCCTCTAAGTGACAGTCCAGTCGGACGATTCTCCCTTTGGAGGTGATGGCACCGTGCATGAATTTCTGTCCACTCACAAAGGGAACCAAAATATGCTATGCTAGCCGAGTATGGTTCCTATCCTCCTTCCATGATGCAATGTCACTACTAGGAGAGCAGTCTTGTTCTCTTTTCCTCTGTATAAATGTGGTGATGCCTAGCTCATCACTACCACTGTGGTCATCATGAGCTCGCTTGCAACTGCAAGAAGCAGCAACGCGCCGCTCCTCCTCCTCTTCCTCCTTCTCATTTTTGTTTCTTTACTGCACATCTGTGTGGGGGATTATCTCGATGACGCCTCTGCTCCCGCCCCCACTCCCGCCACAGCCACCCCGTCCCCCTTCTCATTCAGCTTTGATTTCTCCAACGCATCCACCTACCGCTTAGAAGACCTTAGGTTCGAGGGTGACGCAACCATGCACGGCGACCTGGTTGACCTCACCTGCAACACTTTCGGGAAGAACCCAAAGTTTTGCACGGGACGGGTGTCCTACGGGCACCCCGTGCCGTTCTACGACAACGTCACCGGTGAGGTGGCCAGCTTCCAGGCGCGGTTCACCTTCGCGATCCTCATCGACGACTATACTATGAACTACAAGGGGGACGGCATGACTTTCTTCCTTGGCTGTTACCCGTCCACGATGCCGCTGAACTCGGGTGGGGGAAATCTAGGCATCATGCCGGATGGCGACGGCAAGAGCCGGACCGCCTTCGGGAACGACCGGTTCATCGCCGTGGAGTTCGACACCTTCAACAACTCCTGGGACCCCAACACCACCTACGACCATATCGGCATCGACATCAGCTCCGTCATGGACTCGGTGAACACGACAGTACTAGATAGCTTCAGCCTCAATGGCTCCATGACGGCCACCGTCACCTTTGACAACACCACCCGGATGCTGGTAGCCAACCTGCACTTTGATGACCATACTTACATTGCCCCTGTTCAGGTCAGCACGCAATTACCCGATCCAGTCACCACCTTGCTCCCGCCTCAGGTTGCCATAGGGTTCTCTGCAGCCACAGGCAAAGACATGGAGCTGCATCAGATACTCTCATGGTCATTCAACTCCTCACTTGCTCCGCCTCACAAAGGTGGTTACTTATTCGTTATTTCTTCAAGGCAACTGCCACGAAAAGATACTAATTTAGTATTCCAAGAGACATTACTTATTCCACTAGTTAATCAAGTCTTGGCTCAGATCTATTATGTACTCAAGTCAATGGCTCAGATCTATTATATATGTACTCTTACCTAGGTAAGAGTGAGCATGCTAAAATTTGCCATACATCAAGTACTAACATGGTCCTTCAAGGCTTCAACTCCGCATGTTAGTAAAAGATGCTAATATGCTTAGATCTCATGTCGATATTCTGACGCTTCCATCAACTAGGCCCCCTAGCAAAAGATTAATATCGTCTAAAAAAGTAAAAGATTAATTAATGTTCTTATAAGCTTATAGGTCCACATGAAAGGCATCTTATGCTTATCCTTTTAAGGCCTAAGTATAATTATTTCTTCCAATAATATGCTTATGTCTCATTACTGTTGTGTTCCTTCAACTTGGCCTGTCGGCAAAAAATGCTAAATATGCTTAGACCTCCCACAATGGAGTATCATAGGGTATCGTCAGATTGGGTAGTTTCGGGAAGAACCAAAAGTTCTGCACGGGACGGGTGACCTCATCATGCAAACCTCATGCAATGTTAACCAGCTATATTGCTGGCATGAAATAATACTAAATGAGGAAAGAGATGATGCCGTTATCATATACTCCCTCCGTTCCAAAATAAATGACTCAACTTTATACTAACATTAGTACAAAGTTAGTATAAAGTTGGGTCATCTATTTTGAAACGGAGGGAGTAATTGATAGCATAGCGTAATAAGTATAAGGTGCTAGTTTGAGTCATAAAAAATAGAAAGTAAGGTCATCTAAAATATCAAGACATGATACTATGCATTAAGGGTATCATATGCGCGGAACTACTCACTGTAAGAGGTCTTAGAGCTCACATCGATAAGTATCCTTATAGCTCCACGGTGGTATCTGATGCTTCCTTCAACTAGGCACGCTAGCAGAAGGTACTAATATGCTTATAGCTCACATCTATTTGTATGATTATAGATCCATGGCAGTATCCGATGCTTCTTTCATCTAGGCCCTCTAGCAGAAGGTGCTAATATGCTTATAGATCACAACAATTAGTATGCATATATCCTTATAGCTCAAAATGAAAGGCTCTGATGCTTATCCATAAACTTAGCAAACTAGGAAAAGGCGATGCTATGCTTATATTTCACATAAATTAATATGCTTCTAGCTAAGATACTCTCATGGTCCTTCAACTCTGGCATGCTAGCAACAGATGCTAATATGCTTATTGCTCACAATGATTAATCAAGTTGTAGCTCCATGACAATATCCGATGGTTACACCATAAGATACCCATCACCATGGTCCTTTAACTTGGCCAGCTAGGAAATTATGCTAATATGCTTATAGCTCACAATGACTATTATATAATTATAGCTCCAAGATAGTATATGATTATGACAAATATATATTACCTATATGCATGACATGGTCCTTCAACTCGCCCTACTAGGAAAGATGATAATATGCTTATATAAAGATCATAACTATGAATAGGCTTAGATGCTTATACCTCCGTGGTAGTACCAGATGCACATAAGCACCAAATACCCTCATTGTACTTAAACTCTGCCTGCTAGGAGAGAAAGTTAACTTGGACACATGAATTAATACAATTAACTACTAGTGTTATTTCTGTGCATGTAGATCATGACATGAAGGCTGCAGTTGTTGGAGGGTCGCTTGGAGGAGTTGTAGCATTGGTGGTTATGGTGTGGTGTATCATTGCATGTTTCAAGTGGACAAGGAGCACAAGCCATGAGGCACGAACTGGAGGACCCAAACGGTTCGAATACCGCGAGCTGGCTTCTGCAACAGACAACTTCTCTAAGGAGAGGGTTATTGGGAGAGGTGCCTTTGGAGAAGTCTACAGGGGTACATTCTCCAAGGGATCATCATCGGGTGCTCCTTCAAGAGAATCAGGCGGTATGTCCTCCAAGGAATCATGTTCATCATCCTCCAAGGATTCGGGTGCGTCATCGAACTCAAACTCGAAAGAATCATACAGCAGTGAGGTGGCTGTAAAGAAGATCTTGAATGAGACAAGGGGAGGAAATATGGACTTCTTCGCGGAGATGAACACCATTAGTGAAGCAAAGCACAAGAATCTCGTCAAACTGAAAGGTTGGTGCTGCAAGGATAGTAACCGAAACATGCTCGATTTTATGTGCTGGTGCTGCAGGAAGAAGAAGGATGAAGAACTCTTCCTTGTCTATGAGCTGGTGCGTAATGGCAATCTGGAACACCACCTACACGAGAATGAGCAAGTGATACAGTGGCCAACAAGGTACTATACAATATCCATCATTGTTCTAAATAGTGACGGTCTTCCAAATCAGCTATAGCGAGGCTATACCTGGCTATTTCAGATAATTGTACACGAATCCTATAACTGCTCATTTAGCGGCTCCCTGCTCAAACCGCGGAGCTATAGCCTGCTATTTAAAACTTTGATATCCATACATGTGCAGCTTATTTATTTATTTTGTGATGATTAATGTTGTTAATTATTAACATTGTAGCATATTCATGAACTCATGTATTTAACTATGTATGTCTTGCAGGTACCAAATCGCTAAAGATATTGGCTCTGCTCTTGTTTACCTCCACCATGACTGCTCCCCGTACATTCTGCACAGAGACATCAAACCAGCCAACATTCTCCTAGACAACAACTTCAACGCCAAGCTTGCTGACTTTGGGCTGTCGAGGATCGGCAACCAGGACAATGCGACGCTAGTGACGACCGCTGTTGGGACGGAAGGGTACATAGATCCACAGTGCAGGAAATCAGGGAAAGTCAAGTTTAACCTTAGCTCAGACGTCTATAGCTTCGGGATCGTCCTGCTGGACATCACGTGCACACGGAAGTCCAGGGAGCAAGTCTGGGATCTGTATGTAAGGGGCAGGGTGCTGGAAGCTGCAGATGATAGGCTATATGGCTGTGGCGACTTGGACATGAGCCAGCTGGAGCGTGTGGCTATCCTAGGGCTCTGGTGTTCTCTTCCTGACAGTAGGAAGAGGCCTACCAGTCAGGAAGCAATGGAGGTCCTCGAACGTGGTGTGTCGTTGCCTGACCTTAATGACTTGTTGAACACTACTTCGGTGCCCTCCACAATGCAACAAGATACCTACACTACTAGTAGCTCCGGCCCACAAGCACCTCCGTCAGATGAAAACCCTTTTGGTGAGCGGCATGCATGACTTCTGGGGGTCAATAATGCATTGCATAGTTGCTTCTCTCATCTACTTAATGTGTTCCAATAAGCGTCATGTTGGTATGGGTTTACATTCATGCCGGATTGGCCATATGTTGTATGGACGTAATATAGAGTTACGTGTAACACACTGTGTGTATGCATTTGCTTTGCATTCATGTTTGTTTGCTGATATATAGATATGGATGTAATAAGAGGTTATGTGGCAGATACATCGTACGTGTGGTCTTGTTTGCATTCATATTGGTTTAATAAACTTGGTTAACTCAGTAATGGGACTCGGTCATCTCCTTTTCTTACTTCCTGCGTCAAGAAAGCATGCAACTCTCATATAATTTTTTAAGAGGTCGAGTTGCTGCAATGCAATAAATAGTCATATTCCTAAGTTTTCAAAACAAAAATTAAGGACAGGAATAGCTGGGGACGTCGGCTGGGGGGTTTACCTGCAGCGAACTACTGGTTCCCCATGGGGGTGGGGGGTAGAACCAGCGAACCAGGTCATGACGACCAATACGAGCCCTGCCCCCGACTTCTACTAGGCTGGACGATTTCTACTAGGCCTTCTTTAAAAAAAATGACAAATTTTGAAAACAAAAATGGTTCTTCTGTTCACATGACAAAATTAGAGAAATAAGTTTGTAGAAAAAAGCATAGCAAATTTCCATGATCCAAAAACGAAATTAAAATAAATTACCTAAACAGGAAGTACCTACAAAATGTGGCAAATAAAAAAAAATCTAGTTGCCAACTCTTCTACAATCACTACTCGGAAATTCATTTTTGCCGAGTGTCACAGTCTGTGCCGAGTGCATTTCGTCCGGGAATCGGCAAAATGTCTTTGCCAAGTGTCATCGGAAAAATACTAGGCAAAAAGCGAAACTCGGTAACCGGAGCTTTCCGGAGTGTCGTGGACAAAACACTGGGCAAAAAAGATAATTCCCGAGCGTTACACTCAGCAAAAGGGTGTCTTTTCTGAGTGATACACTCAATAAAAATGGGTATTCGCTGCGCTGCAATGTTTTGGCTGTCGAGATTGCATACGACCTCGGATAAAGATGATCCAAAAATCAAAGCTTTTCATTTTGACAAGGCGAATAATTTTTATGTTGAGCACCTTTCATTTAAGGCAGTCTTAATTACACTTTTTGCCATGACAACATATGGTTTCGACACATGGCCCCTGCAAATGCATGGAAAAGGTTGTAAAATTAGCTTGAAAATGCTATGTGTGATCTTTAGTCTATGTTAGGCTTTGTCCAGGACAAGGGGAGGAATTTCAAACATGATGATACCAAGATTGACTCAACCCCAAACATCAAGTTATCCAAGGAAGAATCGTGGTTTCGAGAGAAAACATGTCACCTTTGCAGGCAATTCGACTGCTGCTTCATCCTTTGGCCTTGATTTTTTTTAAATACTTAGTCGATACCGTTACATGATCCATGTAAAAATTGGCATCTTTCGAGGTACGTTAGCTATATTTAAGTAATTAAATCCATTTGTAGGTAATTAAAACCTTATTCCGTCTTCAGGGACTGTCATCGTCTCACCTTCCCGAACAAGACACAAACCTTGACAGAACACGAAGAAACATCTAAAAACATAGCCCTCCCGCCGGCAAAGGCCGGGATCCACTGTTCCCTCGTGGCCCTAAGACCGCCGGAGACAAGGCAGAACGGCTGCAGTGCCGACGGGAGGTAGAGGACCACTAAACTTTGTTTAGGGAAGAGGCGGCTGCGTGAGGAGGCGGCAAACTAGTATGCTTTGGCGCAGAATTTCCATGTATTGAATAATGTAGGTGGCACTGTTCTTTTATTTTCAAGGTTACTAATTATTTTTCCATATAGAAGATCACACTTAGAAA